CCTCTATCCCCACCCCCAGGCCTGGTGAACGTGGTGTGGTGGCTGGCCTGGTGCTGGTGGAACCGGCAGCAGCTGCCTCACGTGCGCAAGTGCATGGCGGTGGTCCTGCTGCTGCAGGGGCTGTCCCTGCTCGAGCTGCTGGACTTCCCGCCCCTCTTCTGGGTCCTGGATGCCCACGCCATCTGGCACATCAGCACCATCCCCGTCCACGTCCTCTTTTTCAGGTGAGTGCCCGCTGCCCAGGGCTCGCCTTCCCCGTGCCCTTCCTCAAGGCTCTCAGGGGAGACGGTTCTCTGCTGCTTCCCCCGCTGCGGTCTGCCTGCACTCACCCCGCCCCGCCACCAGGGGGCGCCCTCGGGCCCGGGCTTCAGTGGCTCCTTCCTCTGCCCACAGCTTCCTGGAAGAGGACAGCCTGTACCTGCTGAAGGAATCGAAGCTGGACTGAGGGCCCGGGAGCGAGTCTGCCCTCCTGGGGACTCTGCTCCCTCCTGGCTGGCTCCTCTTCTCCCCAGCCCTTGCGATGATTTATTTTTTGAACTTAGACTTGGAGGGTGTGGGCCCAGAATCATGTAATAGGCCCACCGCCCGGCTCGCCCCCACCTGGCCCTCACAGGCTCGTGTTGGGGCCTGGCCTCTGAGCATCCGGGGCTAGAGGATGGGCGGCCCCTCTGGTTCCTGAACTGAACTGTGTTCTCGGCTCCGCCAAGAGGAGAGCGGCCTCTGCTTGCCCGCCAGCCAGCCACCTCCTCACCTCCCCTCTCCGCCTGGTGGCTGGCAGAGACCTCTGTCCAGCCCGGAGACCAGGTGCCAGGCCGTCTTTGATGCAGTCGGATTTCCTCCTGTTACCCCCGTGCCCTCCTCCAGGGACCACTAGGTGGCACTAGACGCCTGCTCTTTGGCTGCCCATGTTTCCAGGCCCAGTGCATTCCACCCCAAGGGGTCTTGAGAGACCACCCAGTTGGAACTGGTGGGCGCAGGCCTGGGGTGTGCGGGATGCTGGGTGGGGCAGTGTGTGTGAACCCTGGCCTGGGGCAGTGTGGAGGCGTCGGGGTGGGGGTGAATGGCTTTGACGTGTGTTGTTAAGCCCCGGCCGGTGCTTCAAGCTCGGTTGGTTAAAGCGTCATCCCGATGTGCCAAAGTTGTGGGTTCGATCCCCGGCCAGGACATATACAAGAAC